GACCAGATAATGATCTAGCCTATAGACTCGATGGTGATCTAGCCTATGGACTAGATAGTGAGCTAGCCTATAAACTAGATAGTGATCTATCCTATAGACTAGATGGTGATCTATCGTATAGACTAGATAATGATCTAGCCTATAGACTAGATAGTGATCTAGTCTATAGGATAGATCACTGTCTAGTCTATAGGCTAGATCACTATCTAGTGTATAGGCTAGATCACTATCTAGTCTATAGGCTAGATCACTATCTAGTCTATAGGCTAGATCATTATCTAGTCTATACAATAGATCACCATCTAGTCTATAGGATAGATCACTATCCAGTCTATAGGCTAGATCACTATCTAGTCCATAGGCTAGATCACCATCGAGTCTATAGGCTAGATCATTATCTGGTCTGTAGGCTAATAGACTAGACAGTGATCTATCCTATAGACTAGACAGTGATCTAGCCTATAGACTAGACTATGATCTATTAACAAATTACCGGTGTCATTTTAAACAATTGGGTTCAGTTGAAAAAGCCGTTTACAAGTTAAAACAAGTAAGAAAGTATAGTCGGGCATGACCGACGCTACACCAGTTATGAATACTAAATGTGATTTATTTTTCATAATAAAGCATTTATCTTCTATTACCTTGTTCCGATACATTTAAGCAATTTATGGATGAAAAACTAATTTTCTGAAAGAGGCTTTATATGGGGGCAAATATGGACCAAGCCTGATAAAATTTTGTGAATATATTTATATTTACATAATATTTTATTATGCTTAATTTCATCGCTATATTTGTGTTTATAAGTTAATTTTGGACATTCAAGTAGTCCGATTTCTATGAAATTTGGCAAGGTATATATAAAACTTAGTTGTGACGCTTTTTATCAATATACAGGTATAAATAATGGTCCGATTTTAACCATAGGCTTCGTCCTTGGGCCGAAAAAGGAGTATGTGCCAAATTGCATCCAATTATCTTGAAAATTGCGACCTGTACCTTGCGCACAAGGTTTACATGTCAGCCAGCCAGACGGACGGACATAGCTTAATCGATTCAGAAAACGATTCTAAGCCGATTGGTATACTTTAAGGTGGGCATAGGACGAATATTTTTATATGTTACAAACATCAGTACAAACCCAATATACCCTACCCACTAAAGTGGTGTAGGGTATAAAAATAAATAAATCCTAAAAATTAAACTTCCTCTTAAAAAATCACATTGACATAAACTTTATTTGATGTAGCTTATCAATATTCACAACATCTACCATGTCACCTTCAACTATTATTGTCGAAAACAGTTTTCAAATATTTTTATTTATTATTTTTATTTCCCATACACAAGACAAAAAAGAACAATAACACAAACACCAGCCTTATTTTGTAGCTTAACTTTTCTATAAATACTAACAACAAAGGCAAGTGCCAATATTTAGGCCTAAAATTCAAATACTTACAATTCATTGACTACATTAACACTTATATATGTTTCAATGATTAACATGTCCTTACATGGCCTGCTGTCAAAGGATACAACACTTCAAATCTTTTTTTAATATCGTTGTAAAGTGGCACACATCCTGCTTGCCCATAAACTGACAGAAGGGATAAATAAAGTGGTCAACAGACTTGTGACAGCTTTTCAACCGGATGATGCTTTTGCATCTCAATAAATGTTCAATTGTTGGTTAAAAATAAACTTCTTGTATGTTTCCGTTACATTGAATATGAACATCAGTGTTTTGGTTTCTTTCTCTTTTTTTTTTGCTGTTGCCTCTTGTATTTTAATACTTTTTGAGTGATCATGAAAGTGTTCAAATCATTTCAAGTGTTATCACAAAGAAGAACTAACAACAAACAGTCGATGTGCGGTGTGGTTTTTGTTTGTGGCCAAATAAAAGGGGTTGTAGAAATAGATATATGAAGTGATTGTGTTGAGTTGCAACGAATTTAGAAAACCATTTCATTCTATCAGTGAATTAAATTCATGGATGTGAATAAATGTTAGTCGCTTTAATCTTTTAAACACCATTTTATTTCGAAAGTGTTACCAACCCTTTAAGCAACCTATAAGACCTACTCAGTTTATATTGGTGGTAGATTTTTACATACAAAAGGGTTACATTGTTTGCATATTTACTCTATACTGTCGTCGTGACATGCACGTATGTGTTTTTAGCTGAAGTATCTTCTAAATATTTGTATGATTTGTTGTTTATTTCTGTCTATTTTTGCTGCATCGTTAGGGCAGGGTGCTGTGGCATGTGTCTATTTCCGCTACTTTAAGCACATTTTGTTCACTTTGATTAGTCTTATTTCTTTAATATATTCTATTATTATTAGTTTTTTATGTTTAAAGATTTTTCCACACTTTTTTCTATATGTTTATAGTTTTGGTTTTAATAATTAAGTTTGAAATAACATATTTACCCTTATGTCAAAGTGAAGCGATTCTTAATGAAGTGAAAAATTGTTAATAAAAGATTCTGGTACTTTGATAAGTCAACTGGCAAATATTGTGTATTTATAAAGAAATGTTTTTTTTTATTTCATATAAATAATTTTGCTGGGAGAAGGGTTTTGCCGATGTCATGTTAGTACAAGTGATAAAAATACATTGTTGCAATTTTGGGAAAAGAGTATTGGAATAAAATATAATTAAAATGTAATTTTAATGTACATTTATTGTTAAATACAGTTGCAAGGTCTCCAAATTCATATATGAGGAATTTCGTGTCAAAGTGTCTTCAGATTTGGACGAAATTTGCACCAAGGTTAGCCAGACACACATTTTCAGCTTTAATGTCAAGAACTGCCGGACTGAGAGGAGGTCAAAAGTTGGACATTTTGGTCATACAGGGTTTATTTCAAATGAGTTGTAACTTTTCACTTATAGCTATTTCTCCTATAAAAATTTAGTTTGGATATTTTGATATACATTGACCGAATCGATAAACTAAAGCAGAATTGAAACGAGAAACTGAACTACTGAACTAGAACTGAACTAGCACGGAACTCGAATACTAGAACTGAACTAGAACTGGAACTAGAACTGAACTAGAACTGAACTAGAACTGAACTAGAACTGAACTAGAACTGAACTAGAACTGAACTAGAAATGAACTAGAACTGACTAGAACTGTAGAACTGAACTAGAACTGAACTAGAATGAACTAGAACTGAACTATGAACTGAAACTAGAATGAACTAGAACTGACTAACTGAACTAGACGGAACTATAACTGAACTAGAACTGAACTAGAACTGAACTAAACTGAAACTTAACTAGAACTGAATAGAACTGACCTAGAACTAGAACTGAACTAGAACTGAACTAGAACTGAACTAGAACTGAACTAGAACTGAACTAGAACTGAACTAGAACTGACTGAACTAGAACTGAACTAGAACTGAACTAGAACTAGAACTAGAACTGAACTAGAACTGAACTGAGAACTGAACTAGAACGAACTAGAACTAGAACTGAACTAGAACTGAACTAGAACTGAACTAGAACTGACTAGAAACTGAACTAGAGAACTGAACTAGAACTGAACTGAACTGAACTAGAACTGAACTAGAACTGAACTAGAGACTGAACTAGAACTGAACTAGAACTGAACTAGAACTGAACTAGAACTGAACTAGAACTGAACTAGAACTGAACTAGAACTGAACTAGAACTGAACTAGAACTGAACTAGAACTGAACTAGAACTGAACTAGAACTGACTAGAACTGAACTAGAACTGAACTAGAACTGACTAGAACTGACTAGAACTGAACTAGAACTGAACTAGAACTGAACTAGAACTGAACTAGAACTGAACTAGAATTGAACTAGAACTGAACTAGAACTGAACTAGAACTGAACTAGAACTGAACTAGAACTGAACTAGAACTGAACTAGAACTGAACTAGAACTGAACTAGAACTGAACTAGAACTGAACTAGAACTGAACTAGAACTGAACTAGAACTGAACTAGAACTGAACTAGAACTGAACTAGAACTGAACTAGAACTGAACTAGAACTGAACTAGAACTGAACTAGAACTGAACTAGAACTGAACTAGAACTGAACTAGAACTGAACTAGAACTGAACTAGAACTGAACTAGAACTGAACTAGAACTGAACTAGAAACTGAACTAGAACTGAACTAGAACTGAACTAGAACTGAACTAGAACTGACTAGAACTGAACTAGAACTGAACTAGAACTGAACTAGAACTGAACTAGAACTGAACTAGAACTGAACTAGAACTGAACTAGAACTGAACTAGAACTGAACTAGAACTGAACTAGAACTGAACTAGAACTGAACTAGAACTGAACTAGAACTGAACTAGAACTGAACTAGAACTGAACTAGAACTGAACTAGAACTGAACTAGAACTGAACTAGAACTGAACTAGAACTGAACTAGAAATGAACTAGAACTGAACTAGAACTGAACTAGAACTGAACTAGAACTGAACTAGAACTGAACTAGAACTGAACTAGAACTGAACTAGAACTGAACTAGAACTGAACTAGAACTGAACTAGAACTGAACTAGAACTGAACTAGAACTGAACTAGAACTGAACTAGAACTGAACTAGAACTGAACTAGAACTGAACTAGAACTGAACTAGAACTGAACTAGAACTGAACTAGAACTGAACTAGAACTGAACTAGAACTGAACTAGAACTGAACTAGAACTGAACTAGAACTGAACTAGAACTGAACTAGAACTGAACTAGAACTGAACTAGAACTGAACTAGAACAGAACTAGAACAAACTAGAACTGAACTAGAAATGAACTTGAACTGAACTAGAACTGAACTAGAACTGAACTAGAACTGAACTAGAACTGAACTAGAACTGAACTAGAAATGAACGTGAACTGAACTAGAACTGAACTAGCGTATAATACCCTCCCCACTATAGTTGTAGGGTACAACTAGTGTTATGCAGAAAAAAGATTTTAAAAGTTTAATGCTAATTTATTAAGGACAATAAATTCTTTCTCTAATATTTTAATTTCAAACGTTCGTATAAGGGAACTTCCGTATTTGCTTGTGTTTTAGTTTTGCTTTTAAACAAACCAGCAGAAACCAAATAGCGAGGCTTCTCCAAACCAGGACGTTTCTTATAAAACTCAGCCAACTCTTTAGTCGAACGTAAATGTGTAATGCCCTTGAAAAGTTTTTCCAATGACAGCAATTCCTCTGGGTAAACAGTAGCAATAGGCTCATCGCTATCAGCTGGCAACCAAGGTCTATCTTTTACCGGTATAGTCCGTCCAAAAGCTACGGTGTTAATTTTCTTGGGCACATTTTTCAAACGGTCACGTATGTAGTTTTCATATTTCAATTCGATGGCCATCTAGGGGGAAGTAGTAACATTTCAAGGATATATAAATAAGGGTGGTTATAATGTTAGTAAAATTTCATAAGGGTTGTTGTCTTTGGTGTGGTTGGTTGTGTACATAAATATTTTGTGTCCTTTGTTATACTACTCACCTCTGGCAAATTCCATTTGTCTGCTACGGTTTTAGCAATTGCTTTTACCTCTTTAGGTTCGGTTAGTATAGACGCTAAAAGCGTGCGGTCTCCTTCTATGGAAAATAAAGCTTTTAGCTTTTCCTTGGAAATATCCGAATCTCTATTGCTGCCCAAAGAATTTATCCATTCGGTAAAGCGTTCAGCAGACTGCAAAGAAACATAAATTGTAGGTTTTTGTCTTTACTACACCAAAGTTGTACTTACAGCATCCATAAGTTGTTCGGCCTGTTCGTCTAGAGTCTTTTCCCAAATGCTACGTTCCAAATCATAGATTTTCGAGTCCCATCTAACACGTTCCTTGCGTGGTTTGCATATGTAGGTCGAACACCAATTACGTTTTTTTTTAGTTTTAGATTTATGTTCCAAAGGTTTGTCCATATTTAAAACAAATTTGGGGTACTCATGTTCCAAATGTTCAATTTCCGAGCAGGTGCTTTCATTGAAAATGTCAGACTATAAATTAGGAATGTATGTATTAAAATTTAATTTTAATTTGTAAGAAGTTCCAACTCACCTTCTTTTCCTTTTTTTGTTTCCCCTCCTCCTCTTCATCATCATCATCACCCCCATAGGATATGGGTGTCTCCATTTCCGATTCAGTTATAAATACATGCTTGTCATATTCATCATATTCATAGGGTAATATTTTGGCCACTCGTTTACGTAGATTTTTGGGCAATGTCACTGAGAAATCATATTTTCTAATAACATCCTTTTTGCTTTGCCAGCGTGCTTTTCTCTCAATATCCTCTACAACTCGCGTCCAATAAGAATTCTTTTCCGTTAGAGACATTTAGAAGAATTTTTAACGAAAATTATAACTACAAAGAAAAAATTTGTTTGAAAACTAATTTTATGTGATGGAATTTTTGTTACTTGTTGTTTCACACTTCGATTGAAACTAGAGCAATGTTTGGTCGATAACGGGTAAGAGCTTTTCTGTTACTATGTTGTCCTTTACAGTAGCAATGGAAATAACATAAAAAGCTCTGTGAAAATGTTAGGTTAAATTTGTACACAAACATATTTTGCTTTTGAGCAACAGTTGAATCCTAAGGAATAGCATAGACACTCAAACAATACGCTTTTATAGCTTTTTATGCAATAAGCTTAAACTTCTTTGTGCTTGCACAAAACTAAAATAACTGTTTTATTATTTTTGCTTTCCAGATATACATATACACATGTATGTATGTTTGTACCTTTTATCCACTTGTGAACATTTTCTTTTAAATTTCTTTATATTTAGAAAATTTTATCAAAATTTCTCTTTTTATTAGAATTTTTTATCAACAATCTGTTTTCATAGCAAATTCCATAAAATTTTTAGAATATTTTTCGGAGAATTAAGTTACATATTTGAATTGAAAAATTCTTCTTTTAAATAGAAAATTTCTCTTTTCTATAGAAAATTTTCGGAAATTTTATATTTTCTGTATAGAAAATTTTCGGAAAATTTCTGTTTTCTATAGAAAATTTTCGGAAAATTTCTCTTTTCTATAGAAAATTTTCTGAAAATTTATCTTTTCTATAGAAAATTTTCGGAAAATTTATCTTTTCTATAGAAAATTTTCGGAAAATTTATCTTTTCTATAGAAAATTTTCGGAAAATTTATCTTTTCTATAGAAAATTTTCCGAAAATTTCTCTTTTCTATAGAAAATTTTCCGAAAATTTCTCTTTCCTATAGAAAATTTTCCGAAAATTTCTCTTTCCTATAGAAAATTTTCCGAAAATTTTTCTTTTCTATAGAAAATTTTCCGAAAATTTCTCTTTTCTATAGAAAATTTTCGGAAAATTTTTAGAAACCTTTAGGAAATTTTCTCTTTTTTATAGGAATTTTTCGGAAAATTTCACTTTTTTTATAGGAAATTTGCGGAAAATGTCTCTTTCTATAGAAAATTTTCGGAATATTTATCTTTTCTATAGAACATTTTCGACAAATTTTTCTTTTCTGTAGAACATTTCCGGAAAATTTCTCTTTTCTATAGAACATTTTCCGAAAGTTTCTAGGAGATTTTCTTTTTTAAAGGAAATTTATTTTTCTTGAGAAATGAAAAATGACCCTAAATTTTTGAAAGCTAATCAATTTAACTAAAAAAAATATATTTTTTATTAAATTGTTTTATATTAACCAATACCAACGTCTTCTTCAACTAATAGTCATGTTGATGTGGTGCGAAATAAAATCAAATCAAATTTCTTAACAATGTCAAAAGAAGCATGACTTGCATAAATAAATGCACAAAAACAAAAACACGTAACACAAGTAAAATGTTTTACAAACAACAAATGTCAACATGAAGATACAAAAATCAAGCAGGATAAGATGACAACAATAACAACAAAACAACTAAATAAACAAACATACAATTTAATCCTTTGTTAAGGGAAGGCAAAACACTAAACGGCAACATGAATGAAAAGGAATGTGGAATAATACAAGGAATACTACATTCATGCAACTTACTATTGCCAACACCACTAAGACTTTCAAGATTTTTTTCATTCAAGTGAAAACAGGTTGTTTGAATATTTTTCTTTCTTTTTTTAATAAAAAACATGTTGACAATAATGTCACAATACCAAGAAGAGTGTTGGGTTTTTAAAGCATTTGTATTTTTTTATTTTTAATACATATAAAGATATTTGTTTTGGTTTGATTCAAGATTTTATATGCATGTCGCAACAATAGTGTTAGTCGTGCGTAAGGATAAGAAAAACTACCGTAGAAATAAGAGGTGACTTGATAAAAGTGGATTCACACAAGTGTTTTTCTGCTTTGGTTTAGTTTGTTTACCTTTACAGCTGTATTTTTTAAATGTATAGACAATAACTGTTGTCTATATGTAAATAATCATATGTATTTGTTTTTCTTGACAACAATAGTAGTTGTAAGTTACTAAGGTGTTCTTATTTATTTAGCTTTTATTGTTTGGTTGTTTAATTTTCATTTTAAATGTTTGTTCTACTATTGAATCGAGGTTAAGTTAAAGAGAAATTTTCAAAAATATTCTTCAAAAAAATTTTTGGAAAATTTATATTTTTCTAAAGAATTTTTTCTCTTTTTATATAAATTTATTAGGTAATTTCACTTCTTAAAGAAAAAACAATAGGAAATTTCTCTTTTTAAAGACTCTTTTCAGACAATTTTTCTTTTTATTAAAAAATTTATTTATAGCTTATTATCTTATTATAACAAATTTCTCTTTTTATAAACAAATTTAAGAAAATGTCTCTTTTCTCGGAAATTTTCTCTTTTCAATAGGAAATTTTCGGAAAATTTCTCTATTCTAAAGGAAATTTCTCTTTTATATCTATAGGAATATTTTCGGAAAATATCTCTTTTCTAAAAATCGGAAAATTTCTCTTTTCTATAATAAACTTTCGGAAAATTTCTCTTTTCCATAGGAAATTTTCGGAAAATTTCTCTTTTCTATAGGAAATTTTCGGAAAATTTCTCTTTTCTATAGGAAATTTTCGGAAAATTTCTCTTTTCTATAGGAAATTTTCGGAAAATTTATCTTTTCTATAGGAAATTTTCGAAAAATTTCTCTTTTCTATAGGAAATTTTCGAAAAATTTCTCTTTTCTATAGGAAATTTTCGAAAAAATTCTCTTTTCTATAGGAAATTTTCGAAAAATTTCTCTTTTCTATAGGAAATTTTCGAAAAATTTCTCTTTTCTATAGGAAATTTTCGAAAAATTTCTCTTTTCTATAGGAAATTTTCGGAAAATTTCCCTTTTCTATAGAAAATTTCTCTTTTCTATAGTAAATTTTCGGAAAATTTATCTTTTCTATAGGAAATTTTCGGAAAATTTATCTTTTCTATAGGAAATTTTCGGAAAATTTATCTTTTCTATAGGAAATTTTCGGAAAATTTCCCTTTTCTATAGGAAATTTTCGGAAAATTTCCCTTTTCTATAGGAAATTTTCGGAAAATTTCCCTTTTCTATAGGAAATTTTCGGAAAATTTCCCTTTTCTATAGGAAATTTTCGGAAAATTTCTCTTTTCTATAGAAAATTTTCGTTAAATTTCTCTTTTCTATAGAAAATTTTCGTTAAATTTATCTTTTCTATAGAAAATTTTCGTTAAATTTATTATTTTCTAAAGGAAATTGTAAGAAAATGTATATTTTCTTAAGGAAATTGTAAGAAAATGTATATTTTCTTAAGGAAATTGTAAGAAAATGTATATTTTCTTATGGAATTTTTGAAAAGTTTATTTTTTCTAAAGGAATTTTTGAAAAGTTTATCTTTTCTAAAGGAATTTTTTGAAAATTTATCTTTTCTAAAGAAAATTTTTTGAAAATTTATCTTTTCTAAAGAAAATTTTTTGTTTTTATGGAAAATGTCTGTTTTTATTAAAAAATTCTCTTTTTAAAAAGATATTTTTAAAGATAATTCTGATCTTTTCTAAAGAAAATTTTCTCTTTTTATACAAAATTTTCAGAAAATTTCTCTTTTTATTGTAAATTTCTCTTTTTAAAGAGAAATTTTCACTTCTTAAAGAACATTGGAAATGGGAAATTTTTCTTTTTATAGACGATTTCTCTTTTTATGGCTTATTTTCGAAAATTTCTCTTTTTATAAAAAATTTTCAGAAAATTTCTCTTTTCATTGAAAATGTATCCTTTTTTGTATAAGAAACATTCAGAGACTTTTTAGAATATTTTTTAAAAATTTATTTCTTCCGAAATTTTTTTTTAGGAAAATTTTCGAAAATTTATAAAGAAAACTTTCGGAAAGTTAAAAAAAGCATTTCTTTTCCTATCGAAAATTTTTAGAATTTCTTAGATAATTTGTGTTTCTTAAAGAAAGATTTCGGAAATTTTTTCCTTTTATAGAAATTGTTATTATGAAATTGATAAACATTCAAATATTTGTCTTTTTCTAGAGAAATTTAACTAGTTTTCTGTCAAATTGTTTTTCTTGAGAAAAAAAATTTTGATGATGAGCATTGCATTTTTTAACCCCTTGTTCCTGTTTGCTGTAAAACAACATGTTAACAGAAGGCAAACTTTTAATTTATGTGAAAAGCTTTTAGCCAAGAATTTTAATATGCTTTCTACAAATTTTATTTTTTTAAATTCCTTTCAGTTTTTTTCTTCTATTCCCATGAAAAAGCAAAAGAAGAGCAAATAATTTTTTTATAATAAGTAAAACTTTCTTACAGTTGTGGGTATATCTACTCTTTACGTGGTCTGATTAAGAATATTCCACAAATCTTTACGAGCGCGTGCTATCATTTTTCAATATTTCACATATAACATTATTACGTATGCACGCGTACATATTATTTAAAAATTACCCTTAGCTGGTATATATGAAAGTCCATAAGTGTTACTAAAAGTAGTTAAAATAAGAATGTGTTTGTGTTCGCTTGTCACTTAAGTACTTTATCAAAGTTCTTCATGTTGTAAGGAGTCCCCTTTTGATGCGCGAAATGTATGCTTTAAAAAGCTGTAAATAAAATATGGAAGTTTTTTTCTTAACTATAAAGAAAACTAGTGCATACATGATAAGAATAATAAAGTAATTTGACTATAAAAATTTTAATTAAAAGAGTTGCTATTGTAAATTAATATAATGTAGTAATTGATTAAAGATTTATTACAACATTTATTAATAGGACAAAAAATTTTAAGAGTATAGTTTGTGACAATGTTAAAACATTTCTTTACATTGCTTAGGAAATCTTAATTCCGATTTTTTCATAAAAACAACATTTAACAATTTTTAGATACTAATTCAAAAGTTTAAAAATTCCATTAAATGTTAAAATTAATCACTCCCTCATTAACCTACAATCTTTTAAATAAACTACTTTTGAATTTTATTTAAATTATTTTCATTTCTCATCTTTCGCATTG